GCTGCCATTACACAATCGATCAATTTATAGTGTCTGTGCACATCGCGTTTTGACATGTATGGAGGTGCCTTGGCAGGTAACGAAACCGTCGGACGCCCAGCTAAAGCGAATAAAATCGCTTTAACGTAATAATTTGTGAATTATTTATCACATTGGCGGTGATGGTTGATTGGCAATTCAGCTACTTTGACGCCGAGGCGTTTTGATTTTGGAGCAGTTATTCGCATTGAAATTAGAGGAGGCTGAGACGCTGGTGGACTAAAACTCCAAGGTCCTCATCCGGGTAGAAAACGGTTTGGTTATTAGTGAAAGTCTTGATAGTCCTGACTGGTTGAATTAGAAGAGGAGGACGACAGATCTGTTTTCGATTCCGAAGTAAAGGTGTGCAAGACGGAGACCCGATAATGCATACGCATGAACATGGTTATCATCACTAATGGTAGGAAAGGCACGCGACGCGGCAAACGTGCGACATTGCGACACACAGCGACTAATAATATAGTTTAAATTAATTTTCCAGATATTAAATAAAAATAAACGATATTTTAATTTAAGTTTAAATGTTACTAATATTGCGGAGTGTGGGATCAGGAATTATGACAGGGGGCTAATATGTTTTGGGACTAAGCCCCCGTCCCCTAGTTACGCTTATGGTCAAATTCTTTGATTACTTTAATAATAGTATAACATCTTTAATTTTATTATAAGTGATAGTTCAGAAATAAATGAAAATAATATCAACACCATACTCATATTGACATACTATTTGTTCTTTCATCAGAAATTATCAAAACTATTACTGCATATTAATTATATCAAATTTAGATAAATTTTAGAGAACTGCTATCATGGTAATATCTTAAACTGTTAATGTAAACTAAAAAAATTATTATTTCGTTAAACTTAAACACTACAATAAAATATCGATTATAGACTAACTAAATACTAAACAGTAGTGCTAGACCATATATCTTAACTTCTACTAAGAAACCAATTTTGTGTTGTTTAAATTTTAAATATCAGCAAAGGCCTATGAGATTCCTTTCGAAAATATTTTTACCTTTAGATTTGTTAATAAGTCTAATATTCATTCTAATACAAACTATTAACTGATCGAAAATTGCTATGGATTATGTTGTGTTTACGTGCACATATACTACAATACACGCAGTTGTAGTATTTTAAACTTTCATCCAAGAAAATCGACCCACTTAATTTACTTATAATAAAAATTCTAGGGCTGAAGCCCCCCTAACTTTAAGGTCTAGTTACGCCTATGAATTTGACATAATATGATTGGTACATAACTATAATAAATATTTATAAGTAGTACTCGTATAGTGATATAACAGTATAATGATAAAGATATATAAAAGAAAATGTTTTTTATGACTGTCAATTAATGTTATAAATGATCACTTAACAATATTATATCAAACATTTTCATTAAAATTTAAGTCTAATGCCATTGATTTGCAATAGTTAAAATAAAAAACAATATAATTTTGCATTAGTACAAAAATATAGTGTTTATTATTAATATAATTAGATTAATTTTTTTTTAGAAAATATAGGTAAATTATTTCAATTATTTAAAATTCAATAATAATAGAGTATTAAAAAAAACTACTGGAAAAAATTATACAATTTTTCATAAAAACTAATATAAATAAATTCATTAAAAACATAAATTATAAACAGTTTTAAAAATAAATCTTTTACTTTATAGCTCATCTTTAAAGGAATTTTTGATATTAGTTATTTATGTATAATCTTTATTGCTTTATAATCGTGATCTACTTATTTCTTAATAATTTTCGCAAAATTTAGTTGTTGCAGGTAATTCCCCTAAAAACAAAACAAAAATTATGATACAGATTAAAGAATAATTATTACTGTATTGAAGATTAACACGTTAATAATTTCATATACACTTAAAATAAATTAGGGAAACAACTATAATATTAATCCTAATAAATTGGATATGAATCGCATAAATGATATTATCATCAATAACTATAAGTAATTTATACATTCCCAGTACAATAAGATAGTAATTATATTGTACTGGGCCTGTTATAAATTGTAATTTTTTAGTCATAAAATTGATTATAATTTTAAGTTCTAAAAAGAGTAAAATGCAGAGAATTTAGTACTTAGATTATTTATGTACCTAGTGTATTTGATAACATTTCCAGAAAAGAAATTTTTTGAATAATTAAATATTTTTCTATAAATATATTCATAATTCATAGTAATATGTATGTTTATTTATATTTACCGCCTGTACTCTTTTTATCTAATAGTTTCTCACAATAGTTTATTACTGCACCTGAATTTAAAACAAGTATAATTAGTATTTTTATTGATTGGTGTACATTTCATCTTATAAATATATTAATATACTATATATAATAGATTCCGACAATAAAATTACTATTAATTTGGTAAGATATTATTTTTTTTTTAAATATAATTCTTTTATTATTATAATTTATAGTATGATATCGTGATTATGATGCGAGTGGAGGATAACCAAAATCAAATAAATAAATACAGTAATTTAATATAATATACAATTTTTTTAGTAAAAATCTATTGTATTTGGATTTTTAAATTACAGTTAAATTATTTCCAAATATTTATGTCGAATATCGACAATACAAGGAAAAGTTTAGAAAACACTGTAATAATTAAATTACCAAATCATTTAAGCTTATTGTTTTTTCTTCCCATTTCAACAATTAACTTTTCATTTGTTTGGCATATTATATTTTCTAATAAATTTGAATTAATTATTGATCAAAATATATTGTGCATACTAATTAGATAATTTATTTTAGTTCTTAGCAATACTTAAAAATCATAGTAGAGCGTATCAGGCTATATTACCTATATTTTAAACTTAATAAAAACTTTGGTATAAAAATAAGTAGAAACTTACTCTCAGAATATATTGTATTAATTATTCTTAAATAAGATGACTTGGCGGTATAGTAAGTCCCTAAATCTAAGAGAAATATAAATTTATTAATTAATCACTTACCCAAAATATTTATAAAACATACAAATATAAAATTGCAAGAAATTAAAAAAAATCAATCATGATAATGCAATTAAAGAAAAAGAATAAGAACTTATTTTGAAAATATTAATAATTTTCAACAATATATTTTTATATGAATATTTTTATTTTGAATAGTAAGCGCAATGCTTTGACTATAGTTCCAGGTGTCAAATTTACTCGATCTAGTATTTATTTTTGTCGAAATGGAATAACGCTAATTAAAATCATATAAACACAATTTTCAACATAAATGTATATAAATAAATATTAATTTAGAAGCTACAAATTAGTTACCGATTATAGTGCCATCATTTTGAAATTTAATTTCGAGTATATTATAATTTACATCACCAGTGTTATTTTCTAAAAAATAATTTTAATTATTATCATAAGCTAATCTATTTAGTATATATTATAAGTTAAGAAAAGTTTAGTACAACAAATTAATTAGTGAAAACCCAATAATGACATAAAACAGGACTTAATGTCTTAGTTTTCTTTTAAAGAAAACAATTACTGTTATTTTAGTTAATGATTAAATGTCTTTATTAAAATAATAATAAATTTAAAATGTTTACCATCATATCCAGACTTTTTAAGGATATCTGTTAAGATAATGTTATGTATTATAAATATTATGTTATGATTTAATATATGTACTCATGGAGACATGGAGGTTATTTGGAGGGGAGACTTAAGTAATCAGTTGTAAAAACATCCATATGAAGTCTTGCTTCTATACTCCTGCTATGTCTTACTGATACAATGTTTTAAACTTTTATAAAACTTGTATTTACGTTAATGACCATTATGCTATAATAATATTGCCTCTTTTAAGTATCATAAGTATCAAATTGAAGTAATCTTTAATTTTAAAGAGATAGATCATAATACACATCAAATATATATTATATATTATATATATATATACATCATTGTAAAACTAATAGATTCTTTTTTCAGATTTTTAAGTATTGATTAGAAATAAATATCGATTTGATGTAACTTTAATTATTAATCATGTCAAATATGTAATTATTTTTTAAAATCATTTACAGTGATAAACCTTTGTAAGCACCCCCCTTCACAATAATTTCCACACATGAACGTATTTATTATTAATATGATATACATCTAGTTATTTTTGGGAGTACTTAATAAAATAATAAGTAATGTGACTAGTTAATTTATAAATATAAATTATTAAACATAACTGTTCTAAAATAAGATAATTGAATATTTAATAATTTATTAATATTATATGTGAAATCATACCCAGACATCCTAGAATTAAAACAAAATTTGAATATATTAATATTAAGTTTTTATTAACAATTGAATCATAATGTTAACTGTTTTTAAATATAACTATTAACTAAATTATTGTAATCATATTTATTTAAAAAAAAAAAAATGAAATATTTTGTATTTTCAGTATCTAAAATAAATTATTATTGCATAATTACTTTTATAACCTAAAGTAAAAGGAAAGACAGATACTATATTATTTATACATTATTATATTGTTTAATTTTTCTAAGATTATTTTATTTTATAATATTTTTCCTGTATTAAAGATTGCGACAATAACTACTTCAGTAGCATTAAAAGTTAAATTAATTAAAAATAAATTTAAATTATCATCTTTGGAAGTTTTCTTATCAGAGAATACGAAAGCGAATGAACCATAATGTCGATTGTATGATTCATATATGTGTACCTTACTACCTACCTAATTTATAATCTAATAAACTATGGTCACAAACCTGAAACCTCAAATACCAAATAATTTAAAACCAGGGCTAGGATCTAAATGTAAACAAGTTCATTTTTAATAAATTGTACTACCTACATTTTTTCATTATTTATTTTGAATATTCTTACAAATTTTACAATTATTCCATATTACACAGGTATTTAGACCATTTTATTATTAAAATTTTATTTTTAAGAGTAGCCGAATTAGTTCCCTGTTTAAATGTATAATTTCACTATTGATTGAGTTGGTTTTCGTTTTTTAATAATGCATATGTTTCTTTCCAATTTTAAAAGTATAGAATTGTCATTTTAATAGTATAGTAGACAAGGTTAAAAATGTGCTTTAATGGCCGTTGAAGTAAAAGTTTACCAATCATCACTTAGGTAAATTAAATTAAAATAATTAAGTACAATAATTTAAAATTTATAAACTTGCTAAATTTACAAATTTAAAGCAAAGTTTTTTTAAATATTTTATTAGTTAATTGAATTTGTTGAATTTTTAAATATATTTTATTTAGTGGTTCTCAGTGATTTGTATACCAATTTAAAATATTATAAATAAATTATTGATTTTTGTGAAAATATTTAGTATTATGACAATTTAAGTGGGTAGTGATCGGGAACCAGTTCGGTACCAGCCCTTTATCAACTATGTATTTTTTAAATAACTAGGTATTCAATATTAGATTAAAATATAACATTTTATCGGGTGGAATATTTGAAATATATGCAAGTATGTATTATTAATTTTGGGTAATTTATATTATTGATATTCAAAGAGCTAACATTTGTTACGTAATGCTTGTTTTGTGGTTTTCTATATTCGTTGTTAGCACAATATCTAATTAATATTAGATATATTTACTTTACAAAACTGTAAAACATTTAATTTTTAATTATCTAAGAGTGGTAATGGTAAATAGGTCATAAAAATGAAGTTTTAATGGACATTTATTAATTTCCTTCTTTGAACCTAGTGAATAAGCGAAAATTATATTTTCTCCAAAATATCGGAAGAGAAATCAAGTAAAAAAAGATCAGTGCCCCTAACGAATCAGTGATAGTTTCAATCAATCATTTTAATAATAATTAGCTATAATCGAGGTATTTTATTTAATATATTTTCATTTGTAATACATATTATAATTACATATTTTAGAACAATTTTGACGTATATATACATTGGTTATGTATGTATATTTAAATTCAAACCCTTCTTATATAGTTAATATATATAGGTATACAATTATTGGTAATCACTAATCAAGATATATTCTTACACCATTTAATTGTTCCTTCAATTTGATTGGACACTGAAATTGATTGAAATTATTTATAGTGAAGAAAATGTAACATTCGTTTAATTTTTTAATGAATTTCATAATACTGTAAGTTAAATATATTTGTTTAGTATTAATTACGAGTATTAGTATGTGTAACTTTAGGAGAATTATGTTTTAACATGGTTAGTCAATTAATATACTTCTTCTGACACTTAATTATCAGTATTTTTTTTAAATTTTTAGCTATCATCACAATATTCTTTCGTTTTTATCTGTCTTGATACATATTTTTCTCTTAATTTTGTACTCTTATTCTTAAAAGTGTAACTAAGTCCATTATCATGATAACTATGATAAATGTATCTAGCATATTTTTAATTCATTAGGTTTGTGTTTATACACATATTTTATAATAATGACAATTATTTCATAAGTGCAAGAGTTTTTCAGTAATTACTTTACTAAATAGATTTAATTTTGGTTTTCAGGGATGGATAGTATTTGTGGAGATGTTTTTAGTATATAATTTTTTACGAGAAACAATTTTTTTAACGCCGCAGAAGAATTTAACAGCCACGTCGTAATATATCTAAATATTATATAATATTATGTATTATTAGTTTTTAAAAATATTGATTTTAGCCATTTTAGGTATGCATAGCGATTCAAATCAACCAATAATATTATTTATTCTTCATTAAATATTAAAAATTATTGTTTAGATATTGTTTGTCATATTTTATACACGGGATTATAGAATTTTGCAATAAGATATGTAGGCAATATTGCATAAATAATGTGAATTGTTTATAAATTAGTGATTTTCATCCGATTTAATAAAAAGCTAAAACATATAGGTATAACATCGTCTATTATTTTAAAGAAAGTTAATCATTATATTGAAGTTATTTTTTTTTAAGTTTACTTACATTTCATAGCCTCATTAATAAGATATGTATTATATAACGTTATATAATCTGTAAAATGAAATACAGACATAAATAACCTTGTATGATCCTATTTAATAGAAACTATTTAGACTCGATAATTAATTCTGTATTTCCTATGTTGTGTATAATTTTAAAAATGTTTCTATTATTATCAGTAATGCTAAATTATTTAGAGAATGATTGAATCTATATTTTATAGTTATACTAACTTTAGTTTCCTATACTAAAAGTTAATAACCTATATATATCTCATATTTTTTTCTTACAAATAACTCATGAAATCTTTAGAAAACATATAGTGATGAATCATCAATTATACATAGTAGATAAAACAGATTTTTAAGTGATCTGATGATAATTCTTATTAACTTATTTCCTTAATGATTGGAAGAGAATATAACTCATATTCAAGAAAATAAAGAATATTATTATATAGATAAGGGGTGATTATACGCTGGTTAAACTTTCGGTTGCCAAATAATGTACGGACAATCAAGAATAGTTGAAAGTATAGTAAATTATTATACTCATTATTAAGGAAATAGCGAAACTAATGTATATATTAGAGCACTGGCTTTCCATTTAATACCACACAGCTATCTAAACGGATATTTTATAAAATCAATCTTCAATAAATGTTCTGTTGGTTTCCATTTCGTTGTCTTCAAATAATCGCTTATAAAATTTCAGATAATAGCACATAGGACTTTAAGTATATCAAGTTATTTTGAATTGGTTTTAAAACATACTTAATGGACTAATTAATATTGAATTCAACAAATAATGGACAGATTTACATTTGATTTAACAAATAATAAACAAAACACGCATTAAAAACAACTCATTGCTGAATTAAATAAAAATTGATCATTAAATATTCTTGTAATTATCTGAAGTATGAATTCAATAATATTAAACAAATTTTTATACTTACTGGTTTCCATTGTCAAAAAATTATAACTATCTTCACCATTAGCATCTATAAACAAATGTTTTCAATATTCTATGATTTATATTATCATTTAACGCTCATGTATAATTTAGATAATTTATATAGGTATTTGATTACTTAAATATTCATTTACTAGTTTAATATTTATAATCAATAATATATCATCTTTATTTATCGACGTGGAAAAATATTATAAATTATTAATTTATATAAAATTATCTATACTATTCATAATAAGATACTTACGAATGAACCCATCAGCTTTTAATACTTCTATTAAAACAATTAAACGTATTTATTAAGTATTTTAATACTTAATGAGTAAATACAATTAATTAAAAAAATAAATAACTGACATTATAAGTACCTATACTATTTAAAAATGATTA